TAGTGGTTTTATGAAAATATTATCTTACTTCAACGGTCCAACAATTCAGTGTCTAACAAAGCTTGCTAGCTTCTCGGCAATTCTACTTATATCAACTTCAAGTTAACTCGCTGGATATCAAAGAGACTCTGAACTATAAAGAAGATTTTATGTTGTTTGTAAGTTAGTGAAATTTTTGTTTATACAACTTTGTTTGTGGTAACTATTCATAATAATTGTTGTTGTAAATTGTACTGTTGTATGTATATATTGTTGCGTCAGCGAGGTCACGTGACTAGTATCACGCCATCTCTTTCTAGAAATATCCTGTTCCTTCAAGAATGCCCCAGCATTTACTAGATATGTTTAGTCTTGTATATATAAGACGTTCACAACGTGACGGGACAACAGGGTAATGAGTAATTGAACTGCAGTCAGAGAGAATATTGTTAAGCACGTGAGAAGTTCGTTGAGAATTATAGCGTTTGTCACAGAGCGACTGTTGAAATTAAGTGTATCGTAAAGTTGTATTCGAAAAGAATAAACCAGTTTTATTTAAGAAAGGACTTGTGTCGCTAAAGTTTCGTCGGAACGAATTTACGGAAAATTAATTAATTAACTGGGTTTTCCCTTGATTAGCTACCTTGTGGCTCTGCTGCCTTCTTTTTTCCTTGTTGTACAATGGGAACAAACATTTCACAATCAACTGCCACGTCTCACTACCAGCCTTCCATCTGGTTGTTAGATAGACAACACCCATCTCATGTAGCAAGGAATGGGAGTTGAGCTGCAACATGTTCTTAAACAGCCAAGAGACTCAAATTAGTTGCTGCTAGCTTTACCTTTAACTGTTGGATTTTACTATCTTTTTCATTATCTTTCCTTACATTTGTTTTTTACATTTACAAATTGAATAACATTTTTGGAATGAATTACAAGGTTTCATGGTGTAGGTAGTTCCTTCCACCTTCCCCAATTACACTTACATATTGCATTCTCATGCTTAAAAATGTAAAAAAATATTTTAATCTGTATAACTGAAAATAAATACATCACAATAAATAAAACATTGAGCAAACCATAGCTATATACTTGTTGCGATATCTGAGCCATTGTGTGTGAATCTAATGTACCACTGATAATTCCACATACTCATTAATATTTAAACTTGATTCAAATATCTTTGTACAATGTTTATGAAAAATACCCAGTAAAATTGTGTTGGAAATACCACGTAAAACGGTTTTCTCTCTTCAGCCATAATGTCAGTCTCTTTGTTACTTTTACTTCTTCAATGAAAAATTTACCACCTGCAAAATATTTTATTGTCAACTTTGAAAGACTCTCTTATTAGTATAAATTAAAATAACAGGAACATTCGATTTCCAAATAATGATTTCCAAGTCAGCTATTACAGTTAACCTCATATTCACCAGTTCTTAACTTCGAGAAAAGTTTTTCATGCTGTCATTGTCTTCTTCTTGTTTGTTACTGAACTCTTTGTGTGATGCTTAATTTGTGCTAATTTTTTAAACAGGAATTTATGAAGGACCTTGTTTAATGTTTTTATACAGCACGTGGTGCCTACATGTATATTTGCTTACATATATATATATCTTGTCATACACTTACATCGCCATTATACTTTGTCAAGCACTGTAGTAATTTAATAATTTATTCAGCTTGTCTTCAGCTACCTCAATAGACTTTTTGGTAACATTCGTATTATCTCCTAAAGCTATGTTCATTGGTGATGGTAATGTCCTTTATGGGTTTTCAAGCTCATTTTTTTATATTTCACATTTCCTCAAATAAGTAATCACTGGTAAAATTAAGATGAATTAAGACATTTAAACTAAAAGTCTATTTACCAAGACTAAAATTAATATTGTTAAATTAACCACTGGATCCTAAACTGAATTCCTTTGTAGGTTGTAGATCCATAATATTTGCCATAATTATTGATGAAAAGTCTAGTAAGCACCAATTAGTATACTCTGCAGAGTTCCAATCAGTCAGTTAGACTATCAGAGAAATTTTCTAGAAACACCAGCTAATGTTCCACATCAGAAAATTACTCATTGTCTAAAGATAAGGAGTTACAATGTCTTTTCAATCATGTGTCATTCTAACTATTGATAATTTAGTATTAATTGTACAGTGTGGTATGTATACATGTATATAATATATTATATCTTAGGACCATTCAAAATCTTAGAAGCCAAAGAACACTACTTTCTTTCTTAATTGTACAGTGCGGTATGTATACACATATATAATCTATTAAATCTTAGTACCATTCAATATCTTAGAAGTCAAAGAATACTACTTTATTTCAGTCCATGATCATACAAATTAGTGCCTGTCCTAACTGTCAATGATAGTGTAGAAGCCACAAAATATAGATTATACATTCACTTGACATTACTACACGATGGCTAACAAAGCCAAGAACACTAAATTACTTGATAATTAATATTCAAACTAATCAAGATTAGTGCATACATTGTAATGTGCATCACATAATTACTTGGACAGCAAGGAATGCCAGTTCTTTTTCACCATCAGATGCTCGACCTAATAATAATCGTAACTGATTATTAATTCTATCCAGATTTATTGGAAGGCCAATGTTGACATTTCATGCACCAGTTGGAGGTAGTACTTGCTTCCTTTTCCAGTTACTTCTCATCTGATTCATCAAATAATTCCAGATAAGTCTATGCAGCTCCCACCATCTGATCATAGCACTACTTCTGTCAATGTGCTGCCTTCCCAAGTTATTGTTAGGTAAATTCATGGGCATCAATCATTGCTTATTCGTGTTATTTTACATACTCTTGGGAACAATGGGAATCTTTTCTTTGTGGTGGAAGATCATATACATCACGTCAACAATAAGTAACACTTCCTGAAAACGAGAATGCTCAGTAAAAAAATTACTGATCCCTATTATATCGCTCTATATGCAATTACCACATTTGACAAATATGTCCTAGTCAGTTCTTTTGGGGTTACGAAATTTTGTAAGTATTTGTCTGGTAGTCTGTATTACAGGCTGAGGAGAATGAAATGAAGTTAGAATATTCACCACATCTAATGCGGTATATAACCCAATGAAAGATGGCTGTTGAAGTTAGCTCTCTGATCAGTGTGGATTTCTTCTGATGCTTCAAAGCATTCTATCTAGCTCTTGGCTATCACATCTCCAATAGTTTTCTATATCATATTGGCCAGTAGACAAGCTTCAGCTCAGTTCATGAAGTAGTTGGTGGGAATGAGTATGTATTTATGATCTCTCACAGTCTCTTGAAGTGAAAGTTGTTACTGGTATCAATATAAACTTACAGTCTTGGCATTGATAGGATGCCTGATCATATTCCCCTCCTCCATTCAAATTGCACTCCTGTCTTTGTTAGAGCTGACAATGTTGCTGCTGTTTTCAAGAAGGTGGCCAAAAATTTCAATAAAATGACGCAAAACCAAGTGAACAGCAGACTTCTCGCTTCATCACGAGTCAAAGCCAATCTTTCACCACAAATATCTTAGCTGTGTCTGCAACACTACATCTCTCCTCACAGTGGGATTGAGAAACTACACCCCTGAGTGCATAAGTGAATATTTTCCTGGTTTCGTCCTTTCTGACAGCCAGATTGAAGTGGCCAGTCTCACTCTCAAGTGCTGTTGCATAACCTCATTAGGGAGTATCTAAAAAATATCAAATATGATATCCCTCTGATATGTAGAGGCCAGTGTTTGTTGTTCCTGTCTGTGCAATCAGCACAGGTAATCCATATAGATGGTCATTCCATCAATGCCAATCCTCTTGCAACCGTTAAACAGACCAATAGATCACCAAATTGAGTGGAATCAGTAATTCATCTCGAACATGATTATTTACCAAGTCATCCTTCTCCTTTTTCAGATGTTCAATTATGTTGAGAGCTGAACCATCTAAGCTCAATATCAGACATTAAACTGCCTGTTCCTGAATGTATCCATTCCCTGCTTGGAATGCTTTAGGACTTAGTTAAGGTCATCTTAAGTCATCACTTTGAACCTTGGAGGTGTGATCTTTTTGTTTGTGCTGACAGGGCCTTGTGCTGGTAGCCAAAGCCTCTCCCTCATGAGATCACTACCTATGTTAAATGGAGATGCTGCTAGTGTCATTAGCTCCAGATGTAGGCTGCTTACAGGGACTCTATTACCCAGATTGGTGGAGAGATTTTGGTTCAGGGCTCATGATGGCTCATTGTAAACTCCTATACAGCCCTATGTATCAGAAGCAACCATCAGGGTCATGGAAAAACTTGCCCCAAAGTTCACAGGCTTTTACTACTGGTGCCCATTGTCTCACCTACCAGGGGAAAAACTCTAATTGTACAGCCTTTCTTCATTGGTCACTGATGGCCTGGACCGGAGCCATGGAAGTCTGATTGGCGGTATATTTATAGACCAGAAAAGACCTTTCCACGCATTCTCGAACTTGTCAGATGTCATTCCACTCTGACCACAGTCGTCTCTGCTTCCCATCTACCTAAATCAGTCCTCAGTGGTAGTGTCTACTTGAATGGTCTGGGTGCTTCAGACATAAACAAATCCCTGTGAGTCTAAGTTTATAGGTTGATCGGTGACAGGGACTTTCATATCATAGGCAAAGTCCTGTGGACGATAAAGAACTTTCCCTTGATTCAACATCTTTTACATACAAATATTTCTCATTGCTAGTAAACTCTTAACTGTGGTAATGCATTCTTCTAACTCAGTGTTTCACCTTATTACGTTATCTAGAAAGAGACATCATATTGAACGCAAGTCAAGTCTTAATTAGGCTCTTGTTCAGTAGAGTGTCTACCTCTTGATAAAGCCATAAAGTGAAACATTGTGGAATTTAAAAAAATTTCACTGGGTACTGGCAGTTTGTTTTCCTAAAACTTGTAACACTTTTGTATTCATTATATTACTTGAGTACTTCTTCCTATAGAAAATGCCATCCTTTGAATGAGAAGCATTACTTTAAACTATTTTAACTCAATAGTTTAAGCAAGGTTAAATATGAATATATTATAAAGACAGAAACTCTGCATTAAATCATCATGTTATGGTAATAAATTTCTCTTTCCTATCTACTTGTGGTATTATCAGGTGAACTAGTTTCTGTATAAGTATCATATAGTTAGATCAACTAAAAACAGAAGATTTAAGCAGGAAATACGTGGAGTAGTATATTCAATAACTTGATTGTTTTTCTTAGTGCAGGTGAAATATGGAGAGATAAATGTGAAGATATGAACAAAATCTTTAAATATATAAAGCAAAATAAAGCACAGCATTTGTACTTGCACAGATTAGATCACAATCAATAATTCTACTATACTGTGTTTAGTTCCACCACAGTTTTCACACTCTAAATAGTGTTTTTACTTTGTAAATTCACATGTAAATTATGTTTCTTTGTCCAATTGACAGCATTACTTTATGACCATTTGTCTCTCTGGCATTAGTTGCTTTAACATAAAACATTATTGATTTGGCCAACAAAGAAGATTAGCTGAATTAACATTTTTACTATAGAGAACAAAGAAATAAAGCAACTTGAACTAGGCAACATCAACGACTTTCTGGACTACCTGGGTATCTTTAAACTACTTAAACAGACTAAAAAAAAAATTCTTATCCGTCATTTGGTTGATTAAAGCTGTACTAGATAGTAATTGTAATATATTGCTTTTTTTCTTTCCTATATGATGAAATAGATGAAAGTAAAGTTTACATTAAAATGTCCTGAGCACCGAGATTAAGTTGAAACTTTCAAAATCACACCTATGCAATGCTATCCTATAAAATTAATCAAGTAATACATATATCTAGTATTAATGATGTTTATTTTAAAAGATGCATTTAGTTAACTTTGAAAATACGAATTTAAAAAAATTCCTAGGTTGTTAAGTTGAGTTTCCAACAGTTTTCTAGGACATTGGATATGACACAGTATTGATAGCCAAGTCATATTATTATATCAACGAGAGTAGCCTGTTGGTCATGTGATGGTTATAGGCTGATAGCCCTTTTGTACTTTTGCACAAAAATTCTAAACAAATTAAACCTCAACTTTTAAAATTGGTTTATTGTATTCAACTTGTGACATGTTTTATTCGGGCTTATCTTGCCTTATATTTTACGGGAAGGACTCAGGGTAGAGCCTGAAACGCCCTTAAAAAAGCAGAAGTCAAACAAAAAATTATTCTACATAGCGAACTTTTAAGAGTTCTGTCAGTAGAGCATCTATTAGTAGCTGTTAGTAGACTATGATGTAAAACAGCTAATTCAGCATTTTCTGTTGAAAATTATAGATATTATGTTGTAAACAAAACAATTCATGTTTCAACCTGTAGTTTTCAAGCTCTTTCTAAAAATATCGATCAGTCAACCCCTCGATAAGTACTGACACATACAAAAGTTGAATTTTATAACACAACTGCAACTTCCCCTTACAAAGTTTATTCAAAATGACCACAAGGTCAGAGGGTGATAAGGGAAACCCGTTAGTCGTGACAAGATAATACAAAGAAGAACAAAAAGTAAGAGACAGCGCATTAAATATGGAGATGGAAATATTAGGGAGGGGTTAAATGAAAAAGACAAATTGTCTAAAGAAGAATTAAAAATGAAAATAAAAATGATGGAAGAGAAGACCGGTGAAGCTTTGGAAGGTGTAAGGAGAGATTATAACAAGAAGATTGAAAAAATACAAAAGGACATAAAAAGTAAAGAAAGACTGTAATAATCAAATTGACTAGGTAGAAAAGAACACCAGTGAGAGATAAAACCTGGAAAATGAATTATTAAAGGCAAAGATTAAATCAGCCATACGTTTTTCTGCATCAGCTCAAGAATTCCAACTTAAAACATTATTTATTACAAGATATGAAGTATTTAGATCCGTATTAGTAATCGCCTATGTTCTGTCATTTGATTGATCTACAGTGAAATTGTACAAATAAATTTCCTTGTACGTTAGTTTAAGCTTAAGCACACAAGTTACAACATGTTTAAGCTTGTAGAAACGTTAAGGTTTGTTTGTTTGTTATTACGCACAAAGCTCTGCCCACCACGGGTATCGAAACCCGGTCTCTAGCATTGTAAGTCAGCAAACATGCTGCTGTGCCACTGGGGGGGGGGGGGGAGGCGAAACATTAAAGAAGAAATATTTTGTTTGTTTGTAATTAAGCACAAAGCTACACAATGGGCTATCTGTGCTCTGCCCTCCACGGGTATTGAAACCCGAATTCTAGCGTTGTAGGTCTGCAGACATACCGCTGTGCCACTCTGAGGCAAGGAAGAAATAAATTAATTTGTTATTGTACGTGAACTGTACTTTGAAGTATTTTCATCAAATATCTTAAAAAAGAAATCAAGTAAGTTCGTTTCTTCCTTTGCTTTAAGTACGCTTATTTTACAATCTGTGAATTTTAAAAACATATTTTCGATTTTCAAAAATATTGTGCTCTGATTACAGGTGGGTGACATAGTTAAAACAAGAAAAAGAAGTGTTATTTTTTCTTAGGAGAAAGCTTCATTCTATTTCTTCTAATTTTTTTTTTTTTTTTTTTTATTAAGGATCAATTTATTACCTCCATAGCTCTAAAATATTTTCAAAGCACCGTTTTAATATACTGGTATAGCGATAAACGTGGCTACGTGAGGAATTGTTGGAACGCGTTATGTTTGGTCTCCATAATTGGAAGTCCAATATGGTACGCTAATGACATATGTGTTAGTTCAGTTTTAGGGTTAAGAGTAACTTTAATCAAGAGGTTAGGGACGTTGAGTTTTCAAAGTATATCGTATATACAAGTTAACAACTTGGTAAAATGACTGAAAATAGTGAAATCATGGAAGATATACATCGTTCGCGCGTAGCTGTCATATATAGGCTAGTGGAACATCTTATGAATTCTTTTCAAAATAATGCACGATTAATGTTGCAAGACAATACAGAAATGCAAAATCTCATTCTTCACTATCAAGAACAAGGTCCACTCTTTGATTCAGTGCGCCGAAGCTATCTTCCAAACTTTGATATTTCAGATTTCAAGTCCCATTTTCGAGTAAACCGGAACACTTTTGAGGTATTTGTTAATCGTATAGGCCGGACCTTGTCAGTAGGAGACCACCAAGCACATCCTGGTGGAAAGCCACCTGTTCCTGTGAACATGCAGTGCATGATGTTTCTATGGTATATAGGTAAGAGTAAAAAAAAAAAGTAGAAAATCCTTAATGTGCTTATATTAAAACCTTTTACACACAAACTTTGCACAATTCAACATAGGCACATCCCAATACCTTACAGAGAGAAACTGGACATTTTCATTAAATAAAACAATAAAAGTCACAGTAAACCACCCATATAACCTTTTGCCAATGTACAAAATGCTTAACATGGCTTAATATGCTTAACTTTAAACCTTTCTTATACAAACTTTGCACAAAGTGAGGTAAGCACATCCCAATATCTTACTGAAAAAACTGGAAACTTTCAGTAAAGAAAACAATAAAAAGTCACATTAAACCCAACATATGAGCTACTTAATGTTAATTGTTTTCTACAAGAAAAATACTCTATTTAAACTCTTTACGTTTCTAGAAAGTGAAGAGAATGTCTTGATATACTGTAACATCATATAGATATTTCCATTATTAAAATACTACTTTGTTCTTATCACCCAAAATGTAGCTAGCACCTTTCTATATGAATCATGAAACTGAGCTACAGAATGTGAAATAGTTCAATTTACAAGATAGTTGCAACACAGTTGTAAAAGCCATTAGGTAATTTATTCATAAGTTGTGAATACTATGTTGTGGGGGGTAAGTGAAAAGGCTATGAATAAGTTTTATACAAAATAACTTACTTTTGCCTTTGCCATCCTTGGAACATTAGTGGTAGGCTACACACTTTCTGTATACTAAGTCACCAGTTCTTCGTTATTTGTCCATACTGTTTTTCATAAATGATTTAGGGTGATTTAAATATGTCACTGAACATATATTTGTACTCAATTTGTACCCAATTTGTACATCATATGGTCCATAAAGTTTGTTCATCAGTACTTAGTTCAATATATAAATCAAACAAGAAGTTGAAAGAAGAAACTTTGTTTTTCTGATAATCATTTTAACATTTTTTACAAGTAATAAGAATTACTAAATATTTATTTTCTCTATATTTTATGCATACAGTTTGGCACTTAGTATAAGCCATATGGAAAGTGTAGGCATTGTCAGCAGACATCACACATTGTTGATGAAACCATCTGCAGACAACACAGAACCTGGGTATGCTTGTGGCTAGGATCTCCAACATATGCATTTGCATTGCACATCATCCAGTTGTTGTCTTGATTGCGATTCCAACCTGTGTAGAATACCATCAGAATCTTTCTCATTCACTGAGATTTTGCACGTGGACAATGATTTTAAGACAAAACTAGTTCATTGTATCTCTGAATCACTTGTCTTTTAAGTCCTGATCTTTTTCCTCATTTTGGAAGGGCCGTCTTAAGAATATTTGAGGCTTGAGGCTCTTCTTGGGGAAAGCAATGTACTGCCCCCCCCCCCCCCACACACACACATTAAAATTAAGTTTTTCAACTGGAAAATTTGTGGCATTTCATTGCAGAAAATTGCTAATGTGATACCTAGTAATGCTTAGTAACTGCACTGCATTTAGATGTGGTCATGTATATTCACCTTTACCATGAATTCAAGGAAGGGTGTAGCCAGCAATTTTCTTTGGGGTTGCCAATGAGGAAACATTTATGTCGCCTTGGCTGCACCGCACATGCATACAACAGACTGCGTTCCTGGTGGAATCCAGGGGCAAGAAGTCATAATGACAACTGTACCTTATTTTAAAGCTTATAACTTAAGCTTTCCATAAATAACAATTTCATGTTAATTTGCATGATATTTGTATGCAAATTAGGTATTTTTTGAGAGTGGTGGTTTTTTCATGAAAATTTGTTTTTTGGCTCGAAAAAGTTGAATGAAATTCACTCTTTGGGCCTATCATGATGTGGCATGAACATTTATTTATTTAGTAGTTATGTGGTGTAATTTAAGCATATTTTGAACATTTTTGATCAACAAAACCGTAAATGACTCAGAGTGTAAACAAATGGGTAAGCCTAAGCTCCATTTACTATACAAACATATGTTAGGCTAACGAGCCTGACATTAGAATGCTTTGAACAGACTAGTGTATTGGTTTTTTATTTTAATTTTGATTTAATTTCATAATCATTAATATTATTATAAGAAATTGTTTTTTTACTTGGCTGGACAGTACAATACCCAAACAAGTAGCAACTAAAATTTCAATGATAAAAAAGAAGACAACAAAAGCAGTATGCTGTTTTATGTAGAGGTAAATACACCAATCAGGAACGATTGACCTCTTGTCCATTCAGAAGGCATTGTTTGAACCAAAATGCAGTCATAGAATGCCTATCTTTGGAATCAAATGGACCTTCTTTATGTTGAAATTCATGTGCTCCAACTTTAACAATCTCTGTGTGATATGCATGTGTTACAACTGCTGAGCGTGTTGTATCAAACTTCATAAATCCAATATCACTGTGTGTTAAAATATTTATTAGGTTATCCTCATTTAGCTTAGCAACACC